CCTGAACTCTGCTCTCTGTGTGTAGCACACTCCTGAACTCTGCAACTCTGTGCACTCCTGAACTCTGCACTCTGTGTAGCGCACTCCTGAACTCTGCACTCTGCATGTAGCACACTCCTGAACTCTGCACTCTGCATGTAGCGCACTCCTGAACTCTGCACTCATAGTGCACACTCCTGAACTCTGCACTCATAGTAGCACTCCTGAACTCTGCACTCATAGTGCACTCCTGAACTCTGCACTCTGTATGTAGCACACTCCTGAACTCTGCACTCTGCATGTAGCACACTCCTGAACTCTGCACTCTGTATGTAGCACACTCCTGAACTCTGCACTCTGTATGTAGCGCACTCCTGAACTCTGCACTCATAGTGCACTCCTGAACTCTGCACTCTGTATGTAGCACACTCCTGAACTCTGCACTCTGTATGTAGCGCACACTCCTGAACTCTGCACTCTGCATGTAGCACACTCCTGAACTCTGCACTCTGCATGTAGCACACTCCTGAACTCTGCACTCATAGTGCACACTCCTGAACTCTGCACTCTGCATGTAGCACACTCCTGAACTCTGCACTCATAGTGCACTCCTGAACTCTGCACTCTGCATGTAGCACACTCCTGAACTCTGCACTCATAGTGCACTCCTGAACTCTGCACTCTGCATGTAGCACACTCCTGAACTCTGCACTGATAGTGCACTCCTGAACTCTGCACTCTGTATGTAGCGCACTCCTGAACTCTGCACTCTGTATGTAGCGCACTCCTGAATTTCACATACTGTCTTAGAGATACAACCCACCCTTTGAGGGTAATCATAATGCAGATGTGGCCCTTGATGAAATTGAGTTTGACACCCCTGAACTAGCTTTGCTCTGTGTCCATGTGTAGAGTGAATGGGAGTGGTTTCACAGTCCTGAACCTGCAGGGCTCTAATAAGGAAACTGGCAGGGTCTGCATCTCTTTAGACGTGATTTCCCTTTGGAAGTATCTCACCAAAAATGATATTTTTGTTGCAGGGGATGCCAAAAATCTGATTTGTATCTTAGTGCAGACTTCTGAAACTCTGCAAGCAGGAAATTACATTTCTGGGGGGTGTTCTGTACATCATCTATGTAAGAACACCACCAGTTTGCCATATTGTATTGCATTTTACAAAGAACTGAATGCTGCAGATTGAAGGAGAAAGGTAATTTTAATAGTAATCAATTAGAATATGACTTGCACAATTCCTGAATTTTTTTATATTTCCTATTTTTTTTTCCCTACGAAAGTGGAGTTCCCTTTAACTTGCCATACTCTGTATAAAAAAAAAAAAAAAAAAACTTGCTACTACCTGAATACTGCACTCAAAGTAATGTAAAAGTGCAGTCCTGAATGTTGCATGACATACATTTGGTGAGTCTTTTTTAGAGATAATTGGGCAACCACCCTTTGAGAGTGATGGTGTTAATCATAATTGTTTTTGAACAGATGTTGCACAACAAAAATTGACTATATCCTTGTCTTTTCTACTCAAAATATTCCACAGTTTTGGTGTACACACTTTTTTAAAACCCTGCGATTTTTAGGGCTTGCAGAGTTTTCCCTTGTCCAAAGTGTAAGAGTACTGAATGGGAGTGGTTTCATTAAATGGCGATCAGTCAGAGTGCTGCACCTGCAGTTGGCTCTAATAAGGAAACTGGCAGGGTCTGCATCTCTTTAGATGTGATGTCCCCTTTGGAAGTATCTATGCACACTGTTCGATAAAGTAATTTTTGTTGCAGAATTGCACTAGCCACACTCACATCCAGTGTAAAGTCTAATGATTTTTTGATACTGATTTTGTATGCTGGGTATACAGTATTGATCCCCTGCAGATTTTGTAAGTTTGCCCACTTACAAAGACATGAAGGATCTATCATCACTTTTATCATAGGTGTGGAAACTATCAACCAAAAATCCAGAAAAAAAACACATAATACAAATGTTATAAATTGAATTGCAGTTCAGTGAGTAAAATAAGTATTTGATCCCCTAACAACCAACAATAATTCTGGCTCCCACAGACTGGCTATGTGCTCATGTGGTACAGATTAGTTCTGTCAATTTAGGAAGGTGTTCCTAAGGACAACTCGTTATGTGTATAAAAAGACACCTGTCCACAGAATCTCTTTCTCTTGGCAAGCACAGAGGTAAGACGGTTTTTGTAGTTGGTTACCAGGTTTGCACACATCTCAGGAGGGATTTGGGTACACTCTTCTGCACAGATCTTCTCTAAATCCTTAACCTCCTTGATGATTCTTTCCGATTTTTTGTGCTGAAAGCGGTACCATTATTTTGCATGGAAATGTGTAGTTTTTTATTGTAGGCTGTAATTTTTTAGGAATAACTCACTGAAATCTGTACGAACAAGAGTCTATTAAACATTCCGGATATGATAAAATTTGAAACACGAAATCATAAATTATAATTTAATAAATAATCATAAAAAATAATATTGTAATAATAATAAATTTAATTCAATAATATAATCAAACCAAAAACACTGAAATTTGAAATACAGAGGCAAATTCACACATCGCTGAGCAAAGTCGCAAAATTGTTTTCAGTGTCTGATGACGAATTTCCCCACGAATCATTATCACTCAATTCTGCAAGTGGTTCTGATTTACTATCGCTGTTCTAAAACCGCTTTTAAACGTAGAAGGGACGCTTTTTGGACGCCATGGACTTTTCTAAGTTTCCAGAAAGAACATTCAAAATGCAGGCAGGGCACAGGACAAAGCAGTAGGGACAAAATGTATGTGAAATGCATTGAAACAACAATGACAGCAAAAATGACATTTTTTAAAAATGTCAAATTTCCCGCCGGTTGCGGCGCCCGTACGTCCCGACGTCACAGGGACCAGAAAACAGGAGCCGGATGCCGGCATCAGCTGGAGGAGATGGCCGGGGATGCTGCAGGGGACACATCGCGGGAGCGAAGGACAAGGTAAGTGCTGCAGGGACCCCCAGAGCAGCGCCGCATGGTAAGCCCGAGTGTAGCTCGGGGTTACCGCTTTTGGTATAGAAATTTTACCCCGAGCTACACTCGGGATTACCGCTAAGGAGGTTAAGGTTTCTTGGCTGTCGCTTTTCAGCTCAAAGTTTCATCTCCCTCCACAAATTTCCTATAGGATTAAAGTCTGGAGACTGGCTAGGCCACTCCGTGATCTTAATGTGGGATCAAATACTTATATTACTCACTGAACTGCAACTTAATTATAACATTTGTATCGTGTTTTTTTCTGGATTTCTGGTTGATATTTTGTGTATATCATTTAAAACACACGTATAATAAAAATTATAACCCTTAATTTCTTTGTAAGTGGGCAAAATTACAAAATCTGCAGGGGCTCAAATAATAATTTTCTCCACTGTACAAAACAAGAAGCTTAGCATTGACAACCTATCTGGAAGCACTTTGCTAAGATAACAGTGTTTAAATGGTAATAGCAGGAGGTGCTGTTGTTGTTATCCTCTTCTTGATGTTCAGAATTGCGGTAGCTTATTTTAGGACATTTTCCTGTTGCTTCATCTTCCTTTTAGAAATGTTTTTTACTTATTGTACTTATTTAGCATTCCAGTGTGTTTTATTTTGGAGTAGTGCACTGCCAAGGAGATTATGCACTTGGTGCTGAGTTCCTTACAGTATGCAAAAGAATCTGAAGCAAGTCAGATTGACCTTGCCTTACTTTCTGGTTGGAAGACCTCAAGCATTAAATATATAGCTATACATAGAGCCCTTTCCTCTCCAGATTGATTAACCCTGACCTGCCCCTTTCATTTGTTGGATTTCATGTTTCAATCAAGAAAACGCAGCATCAAATGTGTGCATTACCTAGAGTTTTCTGCATGCAAATGAATACTACCTAGCAACACTTAGGCCCCTTTCACACAAGGCGTACTCCGTCAAGCAGATCTGCCTGCTCAGAGGGGGATCTGTCCGCTGATCCTCACTGAGCAGGTGGATGACAGGTCTGTCCGCTCTGCTTGTGCAAAGCGGACACAGCCTGTTGTTCTCTATAGAGCGGTCGGAAGTAAACGCCTCTCCTATTGCATCGGACTATCATCCAAGCTGATCTGCTAGATGGATGGTGAAAGCATCCCCATATGTCTGATTTTGGCAGACCAGATTGGATCGGATGCAGGTGGGAATAAACAGACACGTCTGTTTACATCCACCTCCCCATGGAGCACAATGGGTGGTCCGATCAGGTCCACCTGAAAAACAGATGGGTGGACCCGATCGATCTGCTCATGTGAAAGAGGCTTTACATCTCCAGATTGCCACCTGCTCATGTAGGCACTTTGAAACATGCATAACTCCCTATTACAGTCAGCCAACTGCTAGCACAGGGCTGAGGGCTGTTGAGAGGTGTACTGAGGCAGGGTGCTGTGATGTTTCAGGAGGCTATGTACAGCACCTTGATACCCCTCCTACCTGACATATTGGGGTTTATTTACTAAAGCTGGAGAGTCCAAAATCAGACTCCCTTCTGCATAGAAACCAATCAGCTTCTAACCTCAGCTTGTTCAATGAAGCTTTGGCAATGAAACCTGGAAGCTGATTGGTTTCTATGCAGAAGTGAGTCTGATTTTGCACTCTCCAGCTTTAGTAAATAAACCCCATTCTGTCTGCATTGTATAGCGAAGCACAGCATTCTGCCTCTTTATGTCACTTGATTCAAGCAGCATCAAGAGATATATCAAAATGTCCTGAAGGGTGAATATCCGCCTGGAGAAATGGGTGTTCCTAGGCTGGCTGTATGTACCTGCAGACCACCCTAGGTAAAGCTTATATTTGATACATGACTGTAAAGAATGAAATCTTGTGAATAAAAGGAGCGAGCCAACAACATTTAGGCCAGGGAGGAAAGAGCTAGATGGTGATAATTGCCCTCTAGCCAATAAATGAGCAGGCTCAGTCTGACTTGCTGCTGCATTTTGGATCAAAATATAACAAGTCCAATGTTTACCTTCCTCATGTATGTGACATTTGGTGCTTCCCCTTTCCATTGTTTAGAACAATAAGACAGTAAATCAACTTCTGTATTCACGCTCAAGTTTCCTGAATGTAAATGTAAAAAATAAAAAAAAGAACAATAAGATTTCCTGTATTCCCATACCACTTTGAATGCGTTTATCCTAAAAAGAATATTAAAACTTACTTCTTTTTTTAAAAAGTCCTTGACATGGAATGCTACACCTACAAATAAGCAGAAAAAATAATGAAAATAATTGCGAAAGCGGATTATGTGGAAACAGTGCATATGTGAAGTGCATACCACAAGGAAATTAGGGCTTTGAAGTGTTGCCACATCATACACAGGACAGCCACAGCAACTACAAGGCACTGATGTACATGATTCCACATCTTGCTTATAACCTCAAGAATGGGTGGAACTCTTGACTGTTCATCAGGTGTATCTGAAACAAAGACAGCAAAATGTCATCTGTATTCAAATTTACATTTCATTTGCACTTTCAATGTTACAAACTTACAACACAGACTTTGTAAGTCAGAAATGAAAAAAAAAAGATAATGAAAGCAGCAGGGCAGAATTTGCTGGTAACAGTCCCATAAATACTGTATATGCTTGGTCTTCAAAGCTGTACATATTAAACGACAAAAATGGGACATAAGACATGCATGCAACCCAGATGTGCCACTTGTTTAAAGCTCTAATCATTTTTGCAGTAGAACTGGTCCAGTCTAAAACAAGCAGCAAGGAGAATATTAATTTCAGTAACCCGGTTTATTGAATTATGCTGTAATTATCTTTCATTTCTACTGAGCCTTCTACTGTGCAATAATTTGGAATCATAGAAAAAAAAAAAAAAATTCCGGGAGAGACCAGGTTCCACAATTACATCTCACATGCTGGCTTGGGTCACCTCCAAAACTAAGCAATCTACTGAATCAGCAACAGGAATGCCACACACTAAGATGCAAAACAAACTTCCTTTATTAAAATAGCCAAACAGGAACAAATTCTATTCTGACATGTTTCGTGCTAGCCACAGCACCTTCTCAAAAGAAATCGCTTTGTCTTGCACAAAACATGTCAGAATAGAATTTGTTCGTGCTGGCTATTTAACCGCATGCCACCCAGCCACTGTACATATACGGCGGCAGGGCGGCACTCACAGGCAAAATCACAATTTAAAACGTGTGTTTTGTAAACAAATTGGGGGCGCGTGCGAGGCACGCTGCCGCCCTATTTGTCCTGTGGATCACCTCCGCAGATGTCAGTTGCCGGGTCACAGCCGCTCATTAGCGGCTATGTCCCGGCGATCGGCGGTAAACGGTGACAGAGAGCACAGCTGCAATAGCTGTGCTGTCTGTCACCTCTCTATCAGCTCGAGGATGAGCTGATCGAGAGAGAATAGTTTCACTTTCTCGATCAGCCTTGTCCCGCCCAGCACACACCCCCCCCCCCTAGTAAAACACTCCCCTCACTCCTATAACCCTTCCCTGCTAAATAAAGTTAACCCCTTCCTCCCCATTGCCATTAGTACAGTTTCAGTTTGTTTTTTTTTTTTGCACTGATCACTGTATTAGTGTTTTTGGGGATGTCAGTGACCCCAAGTCAGTACCCCCCAATGTCAGAATGTCCGCCGCAGTCCCACCATAAGTCGCTGCCATAAGTCCCTGATCGCCGCCATAATTCGCTGATCGCCACCATTATTAGTATAAAAAAAAAACCCTAAAAATCCCAGTATCTTTCCCGCCATTTGTAAATGCTATAACTTTCACCTAAACCAATTAATTTACACGTATTGGGGTTTTTTTTTAGCAAAGACATGTCGCAGAATGCATTTTGGCAGAAATGTATGACTAAATTAGATTTTTTTTACTGGACATTTTTTATAGCAAAAAGTCCAAAATATTATTTTTTTTTCCTCAAAATTGTCAGCCTTTTTTTTTTTTTTTATAGCGCAAAAAATAAAAAACCGCACAGGCGATCAAATACCACCAAAAGAAAGCTCAATTTGTGGGGGGGAAAAAAGGATGTAAATTTCATTTATGTACTGTATTGCATGACCGCGCAAATTGTCCGTTAAACTAGCGCAGTGCTGTATATAGCAGAAAAATGGTGTAAATTGCAGTATTTATACCATAGCTTGTAGACTCTATAACTTCCACACAAAGCAATCAATATACACTTATTGGGATTTTTTTTTTACCAAAAACATGTAGCAGAATACATTTTGGCCTAAATTTATAACCAACTTTGAGTTTACTATATATTTTTTATAGCTGAAAATAAAAAATATTGTTTTTCTTCAAAATATTTGGCGTTTTTTTCTTTATAGCGTGAAAAATAAAAAGCGCACAGGTGATCAAATTACACCGAAAGAAAGCTCTATTTGTGTGAAAAAAAGGACGTAAATTTCGTTTGGGTGCAGCATTGCATGACCGCGCAATTATCAGTTGAATTAGTGCAGCGCCAAGTAGCAAAAAGAGGCCTGGTCATTAAGGGGGGTAAATCCTCAGGAGCTCAAGTGGTTAAATAAAGGAAGATTATTTAGCATTTTGGTATGTGAGATTCCAGTTGCTGACACAACAGAACCCTATTCATCTTTTTATTACTGTCTGTGTCCCTGAAAAAACACAACAGAGGTACCAACCCTGCTTCATTCTATCCACAAAAAAAAAAAAGGGTTTTGGCTGGACATACATGCTAAGTAGACTGACACATTAAAAGGAGAAGTATGGGATCATAAAAAAGGCAAACAGACATACTTACCTCCATGATTCAGCATATGCATTCAGAGGAAAAATCAGTGTTCTTAGGGTAATAATAATAAAAATGGCTTAAAGAAGAACTTCATTCCCCTTTAGCTTTAGCCCCATCCACCCTCCTTTTTACTCTGTTGCAATAAGATACATTCATAAGGCTCCATGCACACTGGGCGTTTCAATAACGCTGGTAACGTTAGCTGTGTAAAGCCACGTTAAAAACATGAGCTTTTCAGCATTTTTGTATTAGCGTTTAGTGGCGATTTGCTACGTTTGCGTTTTTTTTTTTTTTTTTTTTTTTACCAAAAAAAATTTTTTTTTAGTCACAAAAACATACAAAAACACTGATGTACTGTGTTTTTTCAGCATTGGAGTGTTTTTACAGCTAAAAAAATCCTCTAGAAACCCACTAGTCCTGGGGTTTTCTTTCACCCAAAAAACGTTGATTACAGTCTATGTGTACATGGATACATAGGAGAGCATGCTGTAGAAAAAAAATGTCAAAAGCCAAAAACAGCAGCTGTAAAAGCATCCAATGTGCATGAGGACTAGGAGTTCAGAAACTTTGCTCACATAGCCCAAATTACAGTCTACAACACCCTTTTTCAAAAAAGTTGTCCAGGCACCCTGGGGTGCCTTCAGGTTTCTTCAGGGGTGCCTTGGCAAAATGCCTACAAATTATCTAAAAATTGTTTCATAAGCCAGCTGGTGGATCAAGCCTACCTTTCAGTTACACAAAGTCACAGATTTTCATTGTGTGCCATTACAACCTTCTGGCTGCCAGCATCCTAACAACCAACAGCATCGGTTCATAAGGAGGACGTTGGGTGACTGCACACCATTCTTGTTTGCCCCTCCCAGTCAGCATTAGGCTCACATTAGCTGAGTGAGGAAGAGAAACTGAGGGAGAAGAGAAACACTGGAATACTAGTCAGTACCAATGCAAACATGTCATTTGCTTGCAACAATAAATCACCTCTGATGTTGGGTGTCCTATACTGTGTGTGTGGATGTTGCTGCATTATGTAAAACTATTAGATTTGTTCTTTTATGTTTTAAAATAGGGTGCCTCAAGATTGTGCAGAATTTGAAAGGATGCCTTGACTGAATAAAGGTTGAGAAACTAGTAGACACTGTCTGCATATAATAATTAGATCTTTTATTTTAAAAGCAAATCAATGTTCAAATTTTGACAATAGTGTTTATGGTCATTCAGGGTCCTGCTTAGTGAAATTCAGAGAGTATATATTTATAGCTAACAGGACAACATGGGGTTTATTTACTAAAGCTGGAGAGTCCAAAATCAGACTCCCTTCTGCATAGAAACCAATCAGCTTCCAGGTTTCATTGCCAAAGCTTCATTGAACAAGCTGAGGTTAGAAGCTGATTGGTTTCTATGCAGAAGGGAGTCTGATTTTGGACTCTCCAGCTTTAGTAAATAAACCCCCATGGGTCTCCCTGCCTCAATATCATGATTCTGTTTAATTCTTTTACCCACTGTTGCATTTTGCATTGTAGATTCTACATAGAACCCTGCATGGGTCTAATCATTTGTGTGGAAAATGTTTAATTTCTAAATGTAATCTGATCAGAATGTACAACATTGAATGACTCGCGTACCAAGGAAATGCTTAATCAGATCACATCAGTAAATTTTCCATCAAGCAAGTCAAAACATTGGGGTTGATTTACAAAAGGAGCAGAGCAGATTTGGTGTACAAAGTGGATTTTCACACAGCTTAGTGAATGAGGGTTGGGCTGACTTCAATCATCCTATCGTGTCAAATAATAATTCTGTTTTTGTTTTTTAATGTACTTTTCCCATGATTGGATATTCTTTGCATGGTGATTTTTTGATTAGCTTCAATTCTTGTCATTATTATTATTACATCGCGTTTATATAGCGCCAAAGGATTTGCTCAGCGCTGTACAATAGAGGGGGGGGGGGGGGGGGGACAATACATGAAACAGTACAGCAACTACAAACCGCACACGAGGGGTTACTCTTTCGAGCTTACAATCTAGAAGGGAGGGGGTAGTGGCACAGGAGGAAATGGCTGTGGGGGATGGAGTGGTAGGAGGAATGAAGGAGAATGGCTGTTAGGTGAGGGTGGGGTAGGCTTCCCTGAAGAGGTGGGTTTTCAGGGAGCGCCTGAAGGTGAGGAGGGAAGGTGACAGTCTGATGGATTGGGGTAGTGAGTTCCAGAGGATGGGGAGGACCCGGAGAAGTCTTGCAGTCGTGTGTGGGAGGAGGAGACCAGGGAGCAAGACAGAAGGAGGTCCTGTGAAGAGCGAAGGGTACGGGTAGGGTGGTACCTGGGAATCAGGTTGGTGAGGTAGTTAGGGGCAGTGTTGTGAATGGCTTTGTAGGTCAGTTAGCAGTTTGAATTTGATGCGTTGGGCAATAGGGAGCCAGTGGAGGGAGAGGCAGAGGGGGGTGGCAGAGGTGGAGCGGTTGGTGAGGTGGATGAGTCTAGCCGCTGAGTTCAGGATGGTCTGAAGCGGGGAGAGCCTGCACTGGGGTAG